CCGGGGCGCCGCGCGTCCGGCGCTGGGGGACTGTTGGGTCAGAAAGTGTTCAGAGAGCAGCTGTTGCGCCCTCCCTCGGCCCCGCCGCTCCGAGACGCCCCGCCTCCAGCCTTCACCAGCCGCCCGGCCCCGGCCGCGGCTCCGCCCCTGACGCCCACGTGATCTGCGCAGGCGCGCCCCTGCCCCGCCCACCTCCACGGACTCCGCCCCCCGGCGCGAGCAAGCGAGCGGGCGCGCGCACTTCCAGTCCCCCCCCCCCAGTGACTCCCGCGCACGCGCGCGCCTTGCCACCGCCCCCTCCAGCCCCACTCTCCTCCTCCCGCCATCCGGCCTAACGTGGCCCGCGCGCGCCCGGCCGGTTCTAGTGACAGGTACCCCGGGAGGGGGGGGGGGCCACGAGAGTAGTGCGCAGGCGCACACGCAGTCCTCGCCGCCTCCCCCTCTGCAAGGTGTGCCCAGGCGAAGGGAGGGGCTGGCGGCCCCAACTCCTGGGTCACCCAGAATTACAAATAAGAACCTTTACACGGCTGTGGGAAGGGTTAGAAGGCAGCTGTGCACAAAAGACACTTTACAATTTTCTCCAAATGTGAGGAAGGACGATCTGAGATGATTAAAATTTTTTCTTTGAATTAGTATCTTCATAAAGCTATCCTTTAATTGTTGAGATTTGTTGTGTGTGGTTGTTCTGGGCTACACCCGCGCTGCTATTATAACTTGAGATTTCTAAACTTAGCCTAGGTTCCAAGAATCGACGTGGTTTTGATAAAAATCCATTTGGATGAAACCGGGGACAAAAAAAGTGGGGACAAAAAAACACGCTAGCCTTTCCCCCTTCTCTGTACATCCAAGTCACATTGAAATCATTTCCCAACTGTCTTTTTTTCCTTGCTTAAAAGAGAGAAAGACCAAAAAAAAAAGGTTCTGATTCCCCCTTTTAAGTAAGCCCCAAGGAAGAACCACAGACACAACAATCACATCCACTAATTTTTCTGCCCCAAAATGCAAACGAATGCAAATGTGAAATGGATCTATGCAAGTCACTACAAACAAAACAGCCAAGTATATATTTCTTTACTGGCCTTCAGTGTATCCAAAATGGAAAAACTTAAAAACACATCAAAAGCATAAGAATATGTATTCCCTAAACCAAAAGAAAAGAAAGAGGGGGAGCACTACAAAAACAATCTGGAGCTGGTGAGCAAAGCAATCCCTTAATAAATAGGAAAGGGAATTTGAGAAGACAGCTTAGCAAAGGGGAAGAATTTGCCAAGTGTAATGTTTTGCTGTCATTTTATATATAACTACTAACCCTACATATGGTCCAGTTAGTCTTTTTTAAAAAGGAAATGAATCAATTACTTACTCACACTTAATTAGCAGTGCCAGAAGTAGATTCTTAGGCCAGCACTATTTTTTTCACTCAAGCACGCCTATATTGATTACTTTTAGTGCTAGGATTTCTTTTCTCACAAAGGATGAATACCTTTCTTTAAAATATTTTTTGTCTTATAGTCACATTCTGCAACACAGTCCAAAAACACTGTTCATCAATAAGAAACTTCATTTAACTTTATCAAAACAAGTGACTATGAGCCTTGCTAAACAACAAAGAAACTATGAACTAGGAGGACCAGGTTGAGGCTTAACATAAGCATAGCCTCATTCTACTTGTTAATGGATAACCTTTGAACTCTGAAACCTTGAATGCTGTAAACACAATAGCACTGATAGTTAAAAATCCTAGTGTCAAAATTGAGCAAAAAGAAGTCTAAACTTTTCAGCAGGAATACGGAAACAATCAAATATTTTGACAAATAATTGTTTCACTAAGAACAATGAGACTCCTGGCTCTCAGACCTTGTTGCTACTGAATTATTTTCTGAGCAAAAACAGTTGTGTTTTTTCCTGTGCCTCCACAAAGCTACCACTTTGTTAACAACATAGCATCAAATGATTTGTTACTGTTTTTCTACCCCCCAAAAAAAACCTCATGATGTTGTAGCTTTTAAAATGAAAGATAATTGTATTAACTAATCTATCTGCTAAGAGTTTATTTATATGTGATCCTTGTTTGAGCAAAGAATTACAAAGACCCTTATTCCTGGAGACTTGCCAACAAAACTGGGAAATCGCTGCAAAATTCTGCCAGTGACAGGACTGCTGCGTTGCAAATACATACTGTGTTTTCAAAAGGAGTGGAGTGATCTGAATTTGCAGGGAGGGCTTCAGTGAGACACATTCTTCCCTTAAAATGCGAGACTCATACTTAAGATGTATTTGGGAAGCATAGAGAGTTAAAAACAGTTTAAAACGGAAACTCCAAAAGTAACAGGAGGACACTGGGAACCTTTGGTTTTGTCATAAAGGCTAAGAACTCCTATTATTATGGAAGGAAGTGAAAACTGAAAATCGAACGTTGGCCTTGTATGTTTAGCTCCACCCACAAGCAATCCTGCTTCGCCATCACTCCCTGGCTTAGAATATCTCAAAAGGAGTCAGGTGCTGGGAGACGCCCGCAACAAAAAACAAAGAATGGAGTCAAAAGGAAAGTCTCTAAAACGTGAGCTAAGGCTCTGCACATGGCACTTGGAGAAAGGGCAAAAAAGCCCATTCACCTTATTTTAATGCGGCAAACATCAGCCACACCTCATTTTTCACAATTATCCAAACGGACAGGCCTCCTTAAGACATTTCCCAGTATGCACTTATAAAATCACACCATTATCTCTGATTTAATCCTAATGATATCAGGCTCTTCGTTTAGCTAACATCTGATTTTCTATCCAGATCCTGCCAGTCACAGCATTCTTAGATCTAATAGCAACAGAAAACCCTTCTGACTTGCTGTATTTAACAGTTATTGGAATCATCTTTTGAGACTTAGCCTTAATTAGAAGAACAGAATGGGGTACAACCTCCGTATTTCACAAGTATTTGTCTCAGTGTGGAACTATTATAGAAAAACTATTTGGAAGCTGTGTGTAAACCCCTGGAGCTGAAACAGAGCCAACATAGATACTCAATGTAAAAGAATTCAGTATTCAGAGCAGGAAAACCAGAAAAACTGCAGTGAGGAATTAGCAGGAAAAGAAAATGAAAAAGTTAGGCAAACCAGCCAGCTTTGCAAACTACAAAGGAAGGACATCTGAGGAGGAAGCAGGGACAGCCCTTTTAACAAGACTGAACACTAAATTAAGTTGGAATAACAAACAACTCCATGGAACACCAAACTTCACTCATTTTCATTCAGTTTCTTGATCTCATGCAAGTCACCTCCCATGAAACACCACATCAATATATGATAAAATATACACCTGCATGTATGTATAGCAGAATTTACCTTTCAGAAGTGAAGGCAGCGTCTGGAACCTGGAAGCACTCTGGGAGTTCACCAGTCCACCTGACTCCGAACAATACTGGAAGAAGAGATGTGATTGCTGGTTTTTATAAGCAAACTAAAAAGGGAGGGGCCAAGAATAATGCTTAATTTAAATAAAGGGTTAGATACCATCCCAACTTGATTGCATTAAGCAATCTTGATCCTATAATTATATCTCCCTTTTGTGTTTTTTGTTGTTTTTTTTTTTGAGTTGGAGTCTCACTCCAGTCGCCCAGACTGGAGTGCAATGGCCGCTCCCGGCCACCGCAGCCTCGACCTGCTGGG